CAAAAAACTCCTCTGTATTGTGAGAGATGTTTGAGGTTCCCCTCTTGATTATCTTTTGGCCTCTTCTCTCTCTGCTATGTCCATAAGCCCCACTCCCATTCCTATAAACCCTGCTTTCTATTCCTCCTTCCTTCAGCTTTTTCCTCCTTGTGCCCTTGAACTTGACTCTTCCTTTTTTTCTCTCTTTCCTTATACTCTGCAAGATTCTCAGGTCAAGCCCATCTGACTCACTGCAGCAGCTCTACTTTTAAAGCAAGCAGAGGTAGGAGCAGGTTTTCAGCACTGCTGCTCACACTGCTGAGACATGGAGAGAGATGGCCACTGTGACAAAGAAGAGCATCATTACCACCTGTACTTCAAGATTGATGGCTACTGGGTGAGTAACTAGAATTACCTGACTCAGTGGGTCTTGGAAGGAAACAAGTACCCTTTTCTGATCAGTGTAAAAAAACATGGAGGCAAAAATAAAGTAACCATATTTCCACCATCTTGAGCCATCCTCTTAGCAAAAAAATTCCAGATTGGAAATATTTACACAATAATTGTTCCATAAATTAGCTGGCAAGAGACACCCAACCCTGTCTGTTGATTTTAGATTTTGTAATTTTTTTGCTATGTCCGCAGAGTTCACAGTGAGTTACATGTTTCTCATGTAAATTAATTGTTCTCCAATAGAGCACAGCTATATAATTCTGATATGAACAAACACTAATAGAACCAAAGAAAGAATCTATGCAATTTACCACTCCCGCTGATGCAGCTGTACATGGGAGAAAGACTTCTATTTTACTATTTTACCTTAGTTAGCATTAATATTTGTAGAGCTGATAGTGAAAGAAAAATAAAATGAGCAAATTGGATACAGAAAATGAGAATGCGACTTCATAATACTTTTTAGAAAGATTTTTTTGCATTGTAAAGCTTAGAATTTAGAAGTATGACTTTTCATCGTTTACAACAAAATATGTTTTTAATAAAAATTAAATTTTACTTAACTGTAGTTTTCTGTAGTGCTATTTATTTCATTGTAGGTGTACATTGGTATAGATAGAACACTGCTGTTATTTCATCTCCAACATGGCAACACAATATACACATGAAATGGCACAGCGACATCAGTCTGCACAGTCAGGCTGACAGTGAAGCAAGCACTGAACTCTTGCCATTGTAGCTGTGGAAGTGACTGTAATGTGTTTTAGGCACTTTATTAACAGAGCTTACAACCACCCCTGGGGGAGCTGACTGCAGCTGTAATCTCCAATTGCTGGCAAACATGACATTTGGGGTTTGGTTGTTTTGGTTTTTTTCCCCCACTTCTTCCTTGGGGATGTGTGTGTGTCATCAGCAATACCCACCTTCTAATATACTAATTGAAAACAATTTTAATTCTTATTAAAGCATTGCTAACTTTATCAGGGGAATGTCAACACCGATCTGGACGTTCAACCTCCTGTTTCGCACAGACTTTAGAGCGAAATTGAGGATGTCTACGAGCAGATCGTGTTTAGAGTACTTCAGCTGCTCGTAGCAGCGGCTTTCTGACAGAAACCAGCGCCCGCGGAGCGCGTCAGCGCTCCCCGCGCTGTGAGGGCCCAGCCCGCCATGACCCGTCTCCCCGGCAACGCTCCCAGGGTGCCCCGCGCCCCGCGGGCTCCCGGAGGGCGACGGCGCGGGCGGGAGGTGAGAGGCGCCATTTTTAAATCGCTCGGGCCGGCAGCGGCCCCACCCGGCGGGGTGTGGGGGGGGTCGGGGGGATCGCCGGAGGAGTTGGCGTGTGACTTGGGCGGGGGGACGGCCCGGGAAGTGAACGGGGGACCGGGGTGTGAGAGGGCGGCCGGGCTGTGAACGGGGAACTGGGCTGTGGGAGTGGGGCTCGGCTGTGAGAAGGCGACCGGGCTGTGGGAGTGAGACCGGGCTGTGAGGGTGCGCCGGGCTGACCGAGGCCCTTCTACGTGCCCGGAGCTTCCCCTCACGGCGAAGGGAGGCCCTTCGGCCTCTGCCCCGGCCCCGCGCTCCTCCCCGGCCGTTGGTCACGGCGCAGCCGGAGCCGATCCCAGCCCGTCCCAGAGCGCCCTCGCCTGTGCCTGCTATTCCGGCTGCTGGGAGCAGCCTGCTGCGGCCTCTGCGGGCTGGCCGTGGGCCGGTGGGTTCGGAGTCGCCCGGCGCAAGCCCGGAGCATAGTTGAGAGCCCGGTCGCTGCCAGGCTTTCCAGTCTTTGCGTTTGCCTGCTTTCGTTTCCACCAGCGATCCTCAGCCACGGGCGGTTGGAGAGTAATGATTATTTTTCCTGGTGTGTGGCACCCCTGTTACCGTTGTACCTCCGACCGAGCTCCTGTGTCCATGAGTCAGGAAAATTACCAGTGAAAAGATCATGGTGACTTAAGCGACTCACTTGGCCTCTCACACGATCTTCATCCACATACTGTAGGGTGTATATAATCATGTTTCTGCCTACAGGAGGAGTGATATACATACACTAACATGGAACCTGTGCCCTGCCTGCACATCTCGATTTTTAAGCCAATATGAAAGGGGACTGATTTTTCAGAAGAGTTTTGGTTGTGGACTATTGAACTATTTGCAAAAAGCAGCCGTCTCTGTGCCCGACTAGAACTTTGAATGAGATTATAGTGACCAAAAGTTTCTCATTTGTATTTGAAGGTTTCTTTTCATGAGAAAAACAGTAGGAAACATACATAGCATGTGTAGGCTGGCTGCTCTTGAGTACAGCTAGATTTACGAGCTGTAACTCACAACATTTCACTTTGATCAGTGAAACTGCTGTCAAACTACCAAGTCTGACTTGGTAGTGTATGTGGCTAAAGCACAAATTTTAACCCTGAGTTAAGAGACAACCTTTTTCACTGTTTTTCACCTAACAAGTAATCTTTCTGTAGAATAAGACAGAAACTGAGAGGGTGGTACCATGTATGGGGATGGACACTGAAATAATGTATGATAAATTGTTGTTGAAATTTGTACCTTGAACAGTGTTGTGGAGGGAGTGATAGTAGTTTGCATGGGATTGATGTGTTCTGTAACATAGAAGTCATACAGATGTTCTCCAAAAGTTCTTCACTTTGGTGTGCCAAGGTGTTAAGTGTTTATTTTCACTGGATTCTCTACAGTCATATCTGAGCAATGTCTAGGTTATGAAATTTTCTATAATGAAGGTTTTTGTGTTTCTCATTGATGTTTTTACCTCCATATATATATATCTATATATCTATCTATATCTATCTTTCTTAAGGTGATTGCTTTGGGTACTCCAAGTTGCTGATGATGAATTAGTAGAATATGGATTGTTAAAGTAATACAAGGTAAAATATAATATTTCTCAAATTATATATAATTGGAGGGGGATTTTTTTTATACACTTGATATTCATGGGAAATCTGATCTCTCGTGAGTGGGTTGCATAGTTGTTTAAGATAGGATTTGTTTCACTTAACTTTAAATGTCTAAAATCTGGATATCTAGTCTAAGGCTGTGACTTTGTGGACATCTGAGCTCGTGGGGAGAAAGGCTTGCTCCTCCTCCTATCTGTTTACTGGGCTCTTTGTTCCTTTCCCCTAGCCAGTACCAGCTGCCTACTTTCACTGATGATGTAGCTTGCTGGATTTTTCCATGAGCTTGTGTGACTTGCTGACCTCACAGAAAAACTATTGACTGTTGTCTCCTTCTTTGAGTGTGTTGGCTTCTTGAGTTAAAACAGTTCATGGAAGGGTCTGATGAAGGACAAGTGTAGGAATGGGGATAAAGAAATGAGGAGTGGAACCTCCCATTCCTGATGACACTGAGCTCTGGTGTTGGATTACATTTTTTCATGAGTTCATTATCTAGTCTTACTGTAGACTCTTGAGCAGGAATGCGAAGGGGGTGGTGTTTCAAGTAGCTTTCTGAGGCTGTGCTTTCTTTGAGTGTCTCACTCTTTCAGGTAAATAGTTTATTGCTTCACAAGACCTTGGCTGATTTTATTACAGAAAAAGAAAGAGCATATAAAGAGATCTGAGGTTCTGACAGAAGTAGGCAGAGAGATTAGACCATACATTGTGTGAAACAGCTCTTTGATTTTCACAGATTTTACTAAGAATTTTAGTACTTGAACAAAACATGGCACAAGGCTAATACTGTTAGTTTTTCATCAATAGCTGCAAAATTATATTCATCGTATCATCTAACTGCAGAATAGTGTTCAACATGATAAATATAAGTGTAGCTGTGGTGTGGAAAGGAGAGCCATGAGTGAGATATGTATGGCACTCAGGTGAAATAGCAATACATGCTGCAGTCATGTCATTTAGTTATACAGTAAGTGAGAAGGAAAGTTTGTTGTTGTAAACAAAATACCATAAAAAAAATAATATAAAGAAATAAAATTATATTGATATCATAATATTTTTCTCTAAATGCAAGTATTCTCACTATTTTAAGAGCTTGTAGCAAACAAAAAGTTAAAACAGAAAAGCTGAAAAATCTTGTAAAAGAAGAAAAGCCCTTTCATGATGTGTAGATATAAAGAGGAGAGATGTGAAGTAGATTATTCAGCAATGTTTCTCTCTGTATGAAAATAAATAATTGGAGAAGAAAGGCAAAACAAAGGTGATTCTTGGAAGTGTAATTGAGTTACTTCACTTAGCTGTTCTACAATAAGTATGCTATTTTACCTACAGAGTGTGCATTTCCTAGGTTTCAGGATTCTCCACCAATACCTTTATATGTATACCTGTGGAAAATGATGGTAAGGTTTCATAGTATGACTTCAGGGCAACTGTTAAAAGTTCAGTAGTGTGATAATATTTGGCAAATATGTAGGTATAGAATTAACTTTATACATGATGTGATTTTAGTTTCTTTAAAGATGTTTTATGGTTCTCTACTTGAACAGATCTCCAGGAGAGGAAGAAATGTTAACATAGTGTTCCTTTAAAGGATTTCTCAAAAATTACGGGTGAAGTTTTCTGTAATTTTGAAGATTTAAAGTCCGTTCACTGACTGTGAACAAGTATTGTAAACCATTAGCGCAGCAGAAATTCTTATTGGTGATCTGCTTACAATATTTGTAGACCCAAATGGTGGGTCTATTGACAGTTCACTGCCAGAAATTATTTTATTATTTGGGAAAAAAATCCCAAACCAAACAAATGAAAAAACTTTTTTATTTGTAAGATTGTGAATAGGTTAAATGTTACAAGTTGCTATCAGTGATTTCGAGGAAAGAACTCTCATGAAGTGATGAAATCTCTGCTTTTTCACAGTTGTCACCAGGAATGCAGGTCATGAAACTTGCCACTAGATGTCCCTGAAAGCCAGAATAGTTTTGTTTCCTTAAATGCATACAGCTTAGGTTTTTGCAGTCTGAAACCATTATTTTGCAGGCTACAATTATCCCCTCTCTCGTCTCCTTTTTTCATGAAATGTTCGTGCGTATGAACGCGTGGCCAGGTGTGTGTCTTGCGTTGTAATTTGTGCACTTTTTTATAGAGGCAAAAGCTGTGAGGAGAAAAGGTACCTTTCTCACCTGCTTGGAATTGCGTACAAAAGGTTGCATTTCTGTTTATCTTTTGGCTGACATGCCCTCAGAAAATGTAGGATTTTTTTAGTGTCTTTGACTTTAGATCTGTTATACCACTTCAGAAATACTTCTTACTCAAGTAAGTGTCAGGATTCAGACCTGACTTTAAGTTCTGTGTTCCTAATTCTGAGCTTTGGCTTACAGTTTGATAGTTACATTTATTATCTCTAGCTTATGATTTGAGAGAGAGAAAAGTATTATTGCCTGGATGTTGTTTAGTTTTTTTGTTGTTATTTTTTGGTTTGTTTTAACAGTGATAATGTTAACCATGTTGATGTGCTTAGAAATTCTTAGGGACATGCTGCCTTGGGTTTCCTCTGTGTACGAGAACTTTCTGTCCTCTCGTGTGATTTGTTGTCCTTCGCATCACTGTCCAGTTCTCCTCATACAGCTGTTGGTTTAACAATTGAAAACGTCTTTATCTTGAGTTTGGAAATTGCTGTTGTCCTTAGTTCTAAACAACCAACAAAATTCAGGAAGGAAAAATAGAGACCGTATTGATTAGGAGGTTCTTGAGAACTTATGTCATTAATGTTGGAAGTTGGTTGTGCATATAGGACAGTCATGGAGGATACTATTCTTTATTCTGATTTCTTCCTTTTCATTATCTCAACAAATTTGGGTAAAGCAGAATACAAAGTTTCTTGTCTTGCTTTGCCTATACTAGTGTTCCAAGTGGTAGATCTTCCTCTGAGCTTTTCCAATCTTAGTGATGGAGGAAGGAAAAATGGGAAAGAAATTTTAAATATAAGACTTTCTTGACATTATCATGTCTTTTAGTGGAATGGGCACTGACATGTGATGTTTATTTTTCCATATGGAAGATAAATTTTCATTTTGCTTAGAGTTCAGGGGTTTATAAAATCAAATTTTAAGTGTTTAAGGTATAGATCCATGAAAGATTTGAAGAGTGGAATCGTAGAAAATTCAACTTTGCCTATAAAGAAGGTGAGGTATTGCAGCGATGCCAGAGTTTTAACATAGTTTCTGTTTGAGTTTTATTTTGTTCAAAGTTACACTCTGTACACTGCTGCCGTGGAGTTTTTAGGCATCAGTTGGCTATGGGAAAAGCTAAAATGGCAGAGTAGTTTGTTTCAAGGCTTTGTAACTTCCCTAAAATTCAGTTACAGTCCTCCCTCCCCCAGATCCTGTGGAAGTGTCAGTAATGTTCACATTAATAGGCGTTGCTTCTAACATCAAAAGGCACTAATGAGGTATATTAGGATACTTCCTCATTCCTCAGCAACTGTCGATTTGCAGCATTCCTCACACCAATCTGATATTGTCGTGTTTCAGAAATTACTTTCTGGAAAGGTCACAAGAAACCACAAGATAAACTGAAAATGAGAAAGTGACATATAGCAATGATATATTTCAGGACTGAACTGCAGGCAGGTGTCTTCCAGGCTGTCCCTGAAACCTTAACTCTTCTCCAGAGAGGGCTTCATAGGAATTCAGCAGAGAGAATTATCTGCTCTTCTTCCTGCAGAAAGGATGGTGTATTGAGGAGTACAATCTATTAGGATGTGACAACTTTGACTTTGATAAGTAGTAGGAAAAGCTGTATGTGCCTGATGTCTGTGGCCTCTGCTTGAACTCTGACTAACAAGGCATAATTAGGGCATTACTAGCATCATAGTTGGAGTCTCAGTGTATAGTGTAGGTAGAAATACCATTTCATGTAATCTGTCAGATAGAAGCGCTTGTGCTTGTTTTGTATTGACTCAAACGATCCCCGTGTTTAAGTTTATTCTGTGCCCTGGAAGGACTGTTACTTCTCAGGGAAGGCAGAATGAGCAGGCAAGAGCTGCACTTTCAGCAAAGGTTTCTAACCCGAGTTATGGCAGAACCAGGATTCTTCTGTACTTAAAGCAAAAGCAGTGTGTGAAACCTTTGAACTGTGAATGTACTTGAATGCTAAGTACGTGTCTTTGTATTTGTTCAGGGGTCTTGATCTTCTGAGATGTCAGGAGAAAGAGTGGATTGTGTTGTAGATTAGTTATACATGAATTTTAATCTTGTCTTCTCCATACTCATCGTGAACAGTCATCATAAAATGGATGGTTTGGGCAGCCTCCTTCCTCCTGTGATTGGAAATGATGATCCAGATAATCCAGGAGAATTACTAAAACTTCTGATAGATGAAAAAATGCGAAGTGAACGCCATAAAGCAAATTATCAAATTTTAAAGGCAGAACATCAAAGGTACATCAGTTTAAACAAGTTTCTTCATCTAAACTATTAAAATGTGAAGCTAAATGTTGGAAGGGATTTATTTGTATGTGTTGTATGTTAGCTATTTCTGTATCTAATGACAGATTTGACTGTTGTTCATATTAGAAAATAGACAATTCAAAATACCTTAAGTAACTTTAGACATTGCAGATTATGTTTTGGGAATACTTTTTATGCATGTAAATATGGGATAACTATTCAGTATATTACAGGAAGAGGATATTTGTAGCTTAGTTCTTATTTGGTGTTTGTGAGTTTGCTTCTGCATGTGAGTTTTTGAGTTTTAAGGTCTAATTTTAGAAGGTAAATATAAAGTAAATGTGTATTTTATTTCAGATTACAGGGCGATTATACCAAATCACAAGATGAAATAAAGCAGTTATTAGATGAAAAGCAGGCTGCAAATGACAAAGTTCAGCAGCTTGTCACTGAATATCAAGAGCAGTTGCTGGGTAAATCGCAAGAGCTGGAAAAACTGAAGATGCAGGTGAGATAATTTACTGGAAGGACTTAATATGTATCTTTATCCTGTAATAGGGCCATGCATATTTTTTTGTTTGTGTAACATGTATATACCCAGTTTGGATGTATTTCAGGTGCCTTGAAATTCACCCAACACGAGTGGTTCTTCTTTAGTGTGTTGAAATTATTGTTTTCTTGTTTAACTGAATCTTTCAAATCCTGTTGGTAGGTGCTGTGTAAGACTCTCAATCTCCGTGCTTGCTCTCCTGTTAAGGAGAAAATCATCTGCCTTGGAGGGTAACTTAGGTGCCTAAACCTGGAAAAATGGATATTTGTTTCTCTTCATTATGACAGCTTTCTTCTTTCTTTCTATTTCTTAAAGAAACCCAAACCAAACAAAACCCCCTCAATATTTAAGACAACTTGGATGACACTTTATAGGTAACTGCTTGTTTCCTTAAGATAATGTAGGACATTGTAGGATCCCAGACTCTGAATGCAGGAGATGTGCCTCAGTACCATAAGTAGAACTAGTTTTCAGGGACTTAAGGGTACAGATAAGTGAAGGAAAAGCAGAATAAATTAGAATATGTCACAGATTATGGATGAAATGTCTTTTTATTAAGCACTGCTTTTTGGTAGATAGTTTGCTGTATGAACCACACCCAAGTAATTTTAACAAAATACCATACAGCATGGAGCTTAAGGCAGGGAATCTTTCCTGATGTTCTTTTCATTCAAACTAGTACCCATGTATCTGTTGGAGAACACGTATCTAATAAGTTTTACAAATAGTTGGTTTGGTATTGCTCATTTTGATTTTTTGGGGTTGGTTCACTTACTGTTTAAGTTTTTCCAGATGCTAATTCTTTATCTTTTATGTGAGACCACTTTTCCTTCCCCTGCTTCCCCCTCAAAGGAGATAAATCTCTTGACAATTCAGCTTGACATTTGTATTGCTTCTACCAATAAACACTGACATTTTAAATGCTTCTGTTACCTTCCCAGAATATTTTTAGTTCACTAGTATATTTTTTTGCTTCTATAGGTACTATTGAAATTTCCGTAGAAAAACATAGAAAATTAACCAGAATTCCTAAAATCATGTTTGAAATACTTTACTCCTTGCTGCTTGTCCTATCACAGTGTAAATAAATGAACATGACTAGTTATTTATGATACTTCTCTGTTTTAAGGTGCTAACTCCTCAAAAATTAGAACTGTTAAAAGCAAAAATACAGGAGGAATTGGAATCTCCTATGAGAGAACGTTATCAGAAGCTAGAAGATGTAAGTAGTAGAAAATTCAAGTAGTAAGTATTGGAGTTCTATTTCATTTAGAGTAGTGATCACCACTTTATAGTTGTTCCTAAAACCTTAGAAAATTAAAACTGGAAGGGGTGCAAGTATGCCATTCTTTGTCTGGTACTGTTGTCCCAGGCAGAGAAGGCTGAAATTGTGGAAGAGGGAGAAGGAGGCATTCTGTTAATCAAATATAACTTGTGAAGTGATAGAAATATTGCATGGACATTTCAAGGAAGTAACTCTGAAAATTTGATTTTTTTTAAAATTTTTTTTGTCTTACTTAGGAAGTGGAAAAATACAGAACACTATATAACAAACTTCGTTACGAACATACTTTTCTGAAATCAGAATTTGAACATCAACAGGAAGAACATGCACGTACTTTAGAACAGAAGAAAATAAAATATGAGGCTGAGGTACATAGAACATTACAGTAGTATGGAAAGAAATGATGACAAAGCTTCTTGAACATTATGGAACTGATGGTACTTGAAGAGTTGTCAGTTTGACACCATTTCACAGTGTTTGTTTCCATTCTCTTAATTTGCAAAACACTTCTATGACTTGGTCTAAAGCTGCCTCTGTAGGTTTGTTCAGTTACGTGTTGCAGTTTCATTTGTGCTATTAAAAATAAGAATAACTTGCCTTCTGGTAAATGACAGCCAGTAGGTTTGCTTAATGGTTTTTTTAACCTCCTTTGTGTTGGAATTTGAAATTAATAAGTTATCTGGGGAACCAACGTAAGGTTGGATTTTAAATTACTTATGTGACAACTAATCCAGGAAGATATTGTCGATAACAGATAAGGGTACTTTTTGTGATGTACCTGTTATGATCCTAGGTTTAGATCATGACAGTGATAATCAGAAGGATACTGAAAACTTTGGTAGCTTTATTTCAGTTGTATTAACTCTTGAATAAACCATTCATTCATTTGTTTCAGAATTGGACTCTCAAAAGTGTATGTAGCTAAATAAATTGCCAGCATATTTATGTTTTAAATATATCCAGCAGTGTAAAGGAGTGTTGCATATGTCATTTGCATATTCATCTAAGTATTTGTCTGGGAGCATATATTCTAAGATGCCAGATTTGAATGTATTACTCCAAACATCAGACACAAATCAAAGCAATCATCGCTTTCAAATTCAATCCTGGTTTGCAAATGCAACGCATTAAAAACAAAACAGTTGTCCTTCCTGGAGCTAAACCCACATGCTGCTTTGCAGCCTACCTCTCTCATGGGCTTCTTGAGGTTGTGCTAGTACTGCAGCTAATTAACACACTTACACAGAACAAAACTACCTTGAGCCCAGGGCACAGTGTGGTCTGGTTTCTCTCAAAGCCTTTTTAACCTTCCATGTCATTTAGCACAAGGAGGCTATAAAAACATCCTCATTCTTAAATGATGGCTTGGGCATATCATGCAATAAGTCTTTGAATCTCCTCACAGAAGGCATCTGGAGGGCTTTTGCTGCAGAAATCGGCTTTGCTGCTTAGAGGATGCTGGTGCGACTTCTAAAGGGACCGTTGCAGATCAGAGTTTGGACTAGTCTCCAAATATCTCCTCTTACATACCTTACTTCATACTCTTTTGCCCCCAGTATTGCATTCAGTCCATGTAACTAATTTTGAAATACAACAATCTTTATATTTTATGTTTGTTAGTTACTTTCTCCAGATTAGTTTGTATCGTTTGTACTACCTTGTAACAGAAAGATTTTTTTTTTGTGCTTTATTGTGTGACAGGGCCCAATCATGTTGCCTATCTTGAGTTATTAGTGGATTTGAGTTCTGTTGTAGTTATAAAATGGTGGAATCATAATATACGTTGAAATAGACTTCTTTCTAGTCCAAAATCCTGCTTAAAATATTGAAATGTAATGAGAAAAGTTGCTTAGGGCCATGTCCAGTCAAGTCTTGAACATCTGCAAGGATGGAGATTTCACAATTTTTCTGGCCAAACTATTTTGGTATTTAACCATCTTCATGGTAAACTTTTTTGTTAATACCTAATTGGCATTTCACATGTTCCAGCCTGTACCTGTTGCCTCTCTTTCTATCACCATGCATCTCCTCTTCTCCGAGCTGAAGAGGCATAGTTCTCTCAGCCTGTCCTTATATGTCATGTTCCCTAACACCCTGACCATCTTAGAGGCCATTGGACTTGATTCAGTTTGTCACTTTCTTCATGTACTTGATGCTAACTCCCGATGCAGTCTTACCAGGACTGGGAGAGGGACAAAGAATCACCTCCCTGGATCTGCTAGCTATCCCTCTGCCAATCTGCCAGGATTCAATTGGTCAGCTTTGCTGCAAGGGTACTCTGATGACTAATGTTCAGCTTGTTGTCCACTAGGACCCCCAGATCCTTTTCAATGGAACTGCTTCCTGGACAGTTGCACTCCATCTGTGTAGTTGCACTGGGTTACTCCATCTCAGATGCATGACTTTCTCATCTTGTTGAAGAGGGTCTGGTCCATTCCACTCCTTCAGCCTGTCCAGATTCCTCTGAATAGCAGTTCTGCCTTCCAGTGTGTGGACCATTTCCCCCGTTTGGTGCCACACACAAGCTTGCTGACACTGACTCCATCCCATCATCCAGTTCCGTAAGGAGGACATCAGTCAACATTGGACTCTCTAGTGATCTCAAAAAGAACCCACTAGTTACAGAGTCAGATGGTCTTGCTTTATTTTCCTACTCTAAGCAAGAAAACAAACACTGATGTAATTTCTTAATATTTTAAATGTCCACTGCTGCTCTTTTCTGAATTGTCAACTGCTGTACTTGTTGCTGCCTGACACTTAACCAATGTAAAAGCTTTATTTTTCTCATTAACAACTCTCAGATTGCAAGACTGGATAAAGATAAAGAAGAACTCCATAATCAGCTGCTTAGTGTTGATCCCACAAAGGACAGTAAGCGTGTAGAGGCACTCTCTAGAGAAAAGGCACAACTGTGTCAGAAATTAAAAGCCTTAGAAGCGGAAGTAGAAGAACTAAGAGCAGAAAGGCACAATTGTGGTGTGCAAGCAGAAAGTGTTCAAAGAGTACAAGCACGACAGATAGCTGACATGCAGGCTGCAATGCGATGTCTAGAGGTAAGATTTCTTTTTTATTATTATTTTGCTCCCTTGTAGAATGTAGTGAGAATAACATTTGGCCTGATAGAACTGTCACTGAAGTAAAGGATAATTTTGCCATTGACTCCATAATTTGAATCCATACATTTCAGATTTAAAATCAAATTATAAATACACTGGGAGTATTGGGAGTCATGTACTACCAGTTCAACTTTGGAAATCTCTCAACTGAGAGATTCTGTTGAATTATCTCCTTTCTAAACATGCAAGTGATATCCACATTTGCAGTCAGTAAGATGATCATGTCAGCACTTGCCAGTTGGCTGAAGTTAGAAACCAATGGCAATATGTTAATAATCTTCTAGAGTAAATGTTTTATTCTTTTCAAAAATGTAAGGTGATGCTCCTCTATTTCTTTAACCCTTTCCTCATCTGTCATCTTGTTTGCCTGTGCCTCTTCTTTCTCCAACACATTACTGCAATTGTTTAGTTCTTGGCTGTTGCTCTCCCTTAAAGAAACTTTGTTATTGCCGGCCTGTTGTACACTTCCCAGGATTCCTCTGTATTCCTCATCTATGGTCCTCAGTCCTCCCGTCAGTTCTTGCTATCTCTCTTGGTAGTGAGTCTTTTCCTCTAGGTTTCTTGCACAGTTGCGGGATACAGATAGATGGTTTACTTTTTACTACTGTCAGTGCTGTAACCCTGCTCCAAAAATCTTACAAATACCTCCTTCATTCAAGGCAGAAAAGAAGTCTGCTGAACTGCAGGTCGATCGAATTGAGAAAGAACTGCAGACAAGTAATGAGCAGAACATTGTCTTAACTAGCAAACTTAACAAATGTGAACGAGAAGTCAATTCCTTAGCTGCTAAAGTAAGTACTTTTATGGTATCTGAAATAATTTTTCCTATCCTGTTATGTTTAAGTTTTTCTGTTTATATTTTACACTAAGAATAAAGTAAAAATGTCTTCTGCTGTGACTTAAAATAGGTTTGGAATTTTCCCCTCAGTTTCAGTTGGAAGATATAGAATGTGTGACTTTACAGGAGAAACATCATACATAAAACTATCTCTAAAGATTAAGGTTATGTTCTTTTTATTTCATTTGCTAGGTCCTTTCCCTACTTTTCCTAAACAGAACAGGTCTTGAAGAGAGGTCTTTATTTTCATGTTTTTAGTGCTTATGAAAAGAGCCAGCCATTAGAGCTTTAAATTGAATTCCTCCCCCCCTTTTTTTTTTAATGGAGCTTCTGGAGATCTTAAAAAGTATTCTCTGAATGGGCTATGTTAGGTACAGGAAGCAAGCATTGGAATTGAAGCAGGGTAGTCACATTAGCATAGCCTTTTTGTTGGGCTTGTGCCAGCACAGCTTATAGAGAAACATTTTAATACAGGATTGCATCATACCATTTTAAGTAGGCCATTGTCTTACAACATATTTGAGTAACTTAGTTGTTGGGTTGACACCAGATCTTAGAGGCTTAGTTCTATGATTGTATGCTTTTCCTTTTCCTTTTTTTTTTTTTTTTTGAGATCTGAGAGAAATTTCTAGAAAAATACTTTGGAAAAAAAGATCAGAAGGCTTCAAGTTTAGGGAAAACCTGAAACTGCTTAAGAAACCTGACATCACTGTTTAATATTTCAGCATAATTTGGTTAGTGTGGATGCCACACTGAGGGTTTTATCTGGTTGCAGTGACTCCTCAGTTACACAGACAGATCCTTTATGCAATTTTACATGTGATTGTTTGAATAATTCAAACAAGGAAAGTAAAAACACTGATAAATCTTTTGACCTTCAAGTGTCGTACAATACTTACATTGCTCTATGTAAATTTGAGTCAGGATACTAGACCTACTGAAGTAGTTACCTGGGTAAATACAAGCTTTCTTCTGTCCCTTGTTCCCTCCTTTCTGGAGAGAATATTTGGTAATAATTTTTTATCACATCTGTCAGTTCCTGGTAACAAGTTGAATCCCCTGTATTTTCTTACCTTTCTGGAGAGGCTTTAGGTAGTTCTGAAGTAACTGTAAAGCCACTAACTTTGAGTTTGTATATCTGGCTGAATACAGGATCATTTTACGTTCTCTGTTGACTTAAGGCTATCCTGATTTTCTGAATATACTTTCCAAACACTAACATGCACTTTGTATGGTATGGCGGTTAATTTTATCATAATATAATTAAGAAAGATAGAATACAGGAAGAAAATTTTAACTTCAAGCATAGTTGTTCTTTAACAATCTCAGATTTAATTCAAAACAGGCTTTACAGTGCACATTTATGAGTGCTAAGTATTTAATTTTGGTCTTTAATTAAAAAAAAAGTTCTAATTTGCCATTGGAATAGGCTATAGCTGTACCACTATTTAAAGCCCCTCTATCTAATGTGTCATACTTGTCCCACATGAATACTAAATAGGAGGGGAAAACTTTAGTTAAACATTTTTCAATCGTCTATCAGAATATATAGAAGATTGTTACAGTCTTTTCTTTTTGTATCAACTGGTCTTCTCTGCTCACCTCCAGAATTAGGGCAAAATAAAATGTTCAGTGGTGTTTCTTGAAGGGAGGAAAGTAGAAACTAATTTCTAGATGTCTCAGTCTGAAGTAACCTCCCTTCCCCCCGCTCACTGTTTCTTTACCTTGGAGTGGGGCAGGGGGAAGAAAAATTCCCCTGATTTCCTAATCTACAACACTAGAGTAACCTCCACCCACTTCTGCACCCCCTCAAACTTATTCCTGAGCACAGGTGCATGCATTTGTCTCCTGGGTTTTGTGCCTTAAAAATGCCACCTTAAATCTTTGCAAGTTGCCCTGAAATGTTCTCAGCTTAGTATTTGAGCAACCAAATCCACCGTGTAGTTACTTAATAAGGTACTGTGTCATTCTTAACCTTTTGCCACTTGTATATGCTAGCAGGTTGTAATTACATTTGTCATTGTGAATGGATTTTCATTATAAGTCCTTTCCTCTAGATATTTAATTCTCATTGACCATGTAATTACTGTGTACCAATGCCTAAACTATAGAAAGTTTCCATGCAAGCACTAATTTTCTTTGATTTGATGTTCTTAAAGCTCCTGCTTTTATGAGGCATTTGATGTGTCTATAGAGAAGTATGTGATTTAAAATGCACTTTAAAACTATGAAGACCTGGATTTTGAGAATGTAGTGTAGCACTCTGGGAGGTCAGGGGGACTATAAATAGTCACCAAATTGAAATTACTTAGGGGAGCAATTAATAATCGGGGTTTGGATATTACTCTTTTGTTTTACTTATGGAGATTAACTTTATTTTAGCTTGACTCTGAGGGATCTTTCATCAGAAGGGAAGTAAATATATATAAATTTAATATAGTTGATTTGGTGGTGTTTTTTTTTAATTCATAGGTAGAAGAACTTAAACATTCACATAAATTGGAATTAACAAATGTCAAACTGGAGGCAACAAGAACAAAGAGTGAGGTAGAAAGGGAGAAAAACAAGATTCAAAGTGAAATGGATGGTAAAGTGTGAAATTATTTTCTAACTATTTCTTTTGTAGCTTCTAGTTACAATAATAAAATTATTTTTCCTCTGAAAACTCTGCAGCAGTCTTCACCTTCTGCTTCTGGTCTAGGTCATAGATCTGACAAATCATTTTGTATCTGAAGTAACTGTGTGGTTTCACTTGCTCTGTGAGGTTGAGAACAGTTACAGAACAATTTTGTGTTCATGTAAATTAGTGAATTTGTGTCACAATTTGAGTATAATCTGTTTTAAATCATGTGCTTCATGTGGTCATTTTTTCTATCATTGCTAAATTCTAGAGTCTTTCACACTCAGCTTGAAACTATAAGTCCCATAGGTCTTCAGTGGTTGGTTTGGGTTTTGATTCTGTGTCCATGGAATTGATACCAATTCGGTAAGACTGCCATGTGAAACAAAATGCAATTTTTAGCTCGTTCTTTGAAGGAAATAGGGAATGTTCTAAGCTACCTGATACAGCTGAGTATGTTGGCAACTTCAAATAGCTTTCTGGAGTGAAAAGGCCAAAACTTTCTAGAACTAGTTGATGATTTAAATCACTACACAGCTTTAAAGAGAACTGTCCTCACTGATTTGCTGTAACTCCAAAACAGTACCTTTGTCTTTCTGAAATAGTTGTTTGTGTTTACTTGCTTTAATAGTAAGTTTGCTAAGAGCAACTGTAAGAAAGTGGTGTTCTCTGTATTGACAATGTACTTACAGTATATTGCAAACTAAAAATGTTGGGCCCTATGAAATATGAAACTAAATAGAGACAAGTTTTAAGCTAACCTGAACTTGCTGTGGAATTCAATTTGCACCACTGAATTAGTTAAATAACCAGGTGTCATTGTTAGAGCAAATTGGCCTATTTGCCAGTGAACACAGGTGTCTCAGTCACAAGATTTTAATTTGGATCATTTGTTCCTGCCTATAGAGTCATAGTTTCAGAATTGCCTCATTTGGTAGTATAAGTGGATTAAAATGTGAAATTTGTTGTAGCCTGGTTACTATGGTTTCACTGGTACCCAGTTACTGTTTACTGTAAACTTTTCCAGAAAAAGAAAATCTTCTTGCTTGACCTTTTCATATTGTGGAACACTTCTTTTTTTAAATCCAGAAACAACTGCTTAGTATAAATTGCTCTAGAGTTTAAATCTGTAATAATATTAAGTGATTCATTACTTTTGTATATGCAAATAATACGCTCCCATAGACAGAGATTCCAGCATAAAGAGTACTTTTCAAAAGTTTTGAAATGTTGCTCTTACAGTGAGAAAAGCCACATCTCTTCTGGTTTTCTTGTGTTTTGTTTTTTTCCCTTTCCCTGTTCATTCTATCTTATGAATTGTGATTTCTAGCTCCCTTTTATGAATTTACAAAGTTATTTGAATCCTGGATTGTATCAGTAATGACATTTTAACTTTTTTTAATGTATAACGCAGGATTGCTGTCCGACAAGGAAATTCTTAAGGCAGCTGTTAAACGTCATAAAGTGCTTTTAGTAGAAAAGGATCGGGAGCTAATTCGTAAAGTGCAAGCTGCCAAAGAGGAAGGTTTTGACAATATTGCAGCCTTACAGAATGAAAAGTATGTTTGTTGATTTACTTCTCAACTTCTAAAAGAAGAGTGTTTTGAGTTACTTTTAAAAATGTCACTCTCAACAAGTAAACACTTCTGGCATTTTGTAATGATTCTTGTGTGCATGTTGAATAACATTGTAGGTTAGAACTTGAGAACAGATTAGCTCATCTAGAGAAGATGAAACTGGAAGAAGATACTTGGAGACAGTCTGAAAAGGATCAGTATGAAGAGAAACTACGTGCTGCACAGATGGCAGAAGAATCTAGCAAAAAGGAACTTCAGCGTTTGAGGTAGTGTGCCTTTTCTAATCTTAGCACGAATTTCTCATTTCCCCCCTTAATTTCTTTACAGTAGGCAGTATAAAAGTCTACTATTCATAGATACAGAAATCTTCATTATGAAATGTTCATTATAGTAGATTAAACAAAATTACCTTTTGCATTATGTAAAAAAGAGAGCCGAATTAAAAATGAACTGTTTAAAAAAATAAAATTTTTCATCCAAACCTTTAAAAATTATATAATTTCAATGAAAATTTTTAAGTCATAACTTTGCAATACATATTTGTTAAAGCTGGTTCCATGCTGGCTGCTGGCATAGATCCAGTGTTAGCATAAACCATTTCTCTTTCCACAAAGGCGCCATATCAGCAACTGGCAAGCTGGGACCCTAATCTGGTGTCTCTTCGAGTTGGTTATTATGGTCGTGAGGTAACTTAGGTTACGGTAGTTTTGTATGAAGGGCGTTAGGATAAAATGAGCAAAAGTCATACTCCAAAAGCATACAAATCAATGTATTTTACTCCTATGCAAATTCTAATAATTGATAAAAAAGTATTTTTAATCATTGTTTAGTTAAATATTTATCAGCCTCTCAAATAATGCTATTTATTTGTCAGACCGATTTATGACATCTGTATTTTGATTAGATAAAAATAAGGTTATCTTACACAATTTTAGATTAAAAATTCAACAGCAAGCTATGCAGAGAAAAGAGCTGGAAGAATGGAAACGTGAAAGCACTGATCAGAAACAGGTAAGGTTTTATTGCATTGTAATCTTATAAAGAAGTACATTCTTTCCTGTAGTTACCATGTCCTTGTGTTTGAAGACTAGATTGAATTTTTAAGGCTTTTTCTTTTCCTGAGGAACAAAATGCATACTGTGGATATTTAAAAGGAGATGTGTTCAGAAATAAATTATGTTTTCCTGGACCTTTATAAATGAATTACAGCTTTTTGCTTCATGTGTTTTGTGGGTACCAGGGATTTCAAAGCTGAATGTTTATAGACTGGTGTATTGAATATGGTTATGCACTATTTTAACTGGAGATTCAGTTTCCATGGAGACTTAAAGTGTTTCTAGGTAATGCTTTGCATTTACACTGCATCTCTCATCTGAGGTTCTTCAAGTGCTTAACAGATGTTTCATAAATGAACAAACTAGTGTAAAGAGGTATATTTCTATTGCAGAGTCAATTGATGACAGGGTTGAAAATAAAACCTAATTTTTTTAACTCCTGCTTGCCCATGATATTATTTAGTAGGTAACAATAGCTGTGCATCAAAGTACTCTGCAAGCTGTGTGCACTTGAAGTTCAAGGCGATTGTTTTTCTCCTCCAGAAATCAGAAATTGGGGTATCTAAGTTTCCATGTGGGGGAGGAAAAGGAAAGGGAAATCATTTCTATATGGGGACTGCAGAGGTTGGATTTTTCAAGCTCTGTGCTTCCTTATTTTCGTGAACTGGTTGGTACAAGTCACTGCTGGTTGTAACACATTGTTTTATGAGAGCCTGGGTAGCTCCACAGTGCTGCTACTAAATGTTGTGTGGTCCTCTATTTCTGTTCTGCCCTGGGGCTTAATGTTGAAATTCTGAAGTTCTGGGGGTCACGTCAATGACTGAAGAGTCCTGCCTCACTTTCTCATTTTAAGTATAATAGAAAACTTTCTTTGTCTAGAAGTGATTTACTGTAAAGTTTCTGGAGAGACTGCTGAGCAAGGAGAAAAGGGACAAGTAAAATAGGCTAATGAAAAGCTAAAGCTAGTTGCTGTTTCCATTTTGCATTGTCTCAGTATCTCAAAATGAATTGCCAGTTATTTGCGTATCTTCTCAAATGGAAAAAATTCTCTTTTTTTGATAGCAAATCTACAACATGGAACTCCAGCTTGCCTCACTTTCTCAATCAGAAAAGGATTTGCTGGAGTCTAATGAGAAGTTGAAGGAAAGAATAGAAAGACTGAAACAAGAATGTCAACAGGCAGAGAAAGCTCAACTGGAAAGAGAGAAGTAATTTTTTTCTTTTGCCTTTACTTTTTATGTGGCTTGTGTTCCTCTCATGTAGATTATCCAGAATTTACAATGCATAGTTAAGTAAAGTCAGAAAGTGAAAATGAACAGGAAATATTGGACAGTTGTAAAAAATGGCTATATGTTCTGTTGTACAGTATGAATGAAAACTTTGCTCATGGTAACTTCAAAAACAGGAGTTCGTTTCCATTCATGTCTGTTAAAATAAATTATTGATTAGTGGAGATAAACTGCTTGTATAAAATGAAATTCTACTTATACTGAAGGGAATATCAGACTTCTATAATTGGATCTAGAGTTTCTGACACAATTCTTTTAAGAGTGTTTAAGCAGCGAAGGTGAAAAAAAGCATTCAAGCATTGTACTATGCTTTGATAATGTTTCAGGGACCCAGTCAGTATATACAAGTATATACTTCTTTTCACCTCCCACTGATATGAGGTAAATAAAAGCTTATTGGATATCTTCTAGTTCCTCTCATCAACATTAAAAATAATCACTTTCTTTTTTTGCACAAGCTTGGCCACATAACATCAAAATATGATAATAAATGCTGATGGGAGCTGAATCTTGTTCAGATTCCATATAGCAATGAACACTTTCCTGGAATTAAAAGATTAATTTGCAGTTAGGCTGAAATGGTGTAGTGGATTGACCCTGGCTGGATGTCAGGTACCCACTAAAGTTGCTCTCACTCCCCTCTGCAACTGGACAGAGGAGGGAAAGTATAACAAAGAGCTCATGAGTTGAGATAAGGACTGGGAGGGATCACTTACTGATCACCATCACAGGCAAAACAGACTCAAAGTGGGGATATTAATTAAATTTATTACTGACAGAATCAGAGCAGGAGAATGAGAAGTAAAATAAATCTTAAAAACACCATGCCCCCATCTCTCCCTCCTTTCAAATTCTACCTCTTCCCCCCCAGCGGCACAGGGGGATGAGGAATGGGGGTTACAACCAGTTGTTTCTGCCACCACTCAGGGAGAGGAGTCCTTCCCCTGCTCCCATGGGGTCCCTCCCACAGGAGACAGTCCTTCACGAACCTCTCCAGCCTGAGTCCATCCCATGGGCAACAGTTCTTCACAAACTGTTCCAGTGCAGGTCACTTTTCCATGGAGTGCAGTCCTTCAGGCACAGGCTGCTCCAGCATGGGTCCCCCACGGGGCCACAAGTCCTATCAGGAGAACCTGCTCCAGCATGGGCTCCTCTCCCACGGTCCATGGTCCTCCATGGGCCACAGGAGCACAGCTGTTCCACTACGGTCTGCACCACGTGCAGGACCACTAGGGGAACCTCAGCTCTCCTCCCCCCCTTCTGCCCTGTCCTTGGTGTCTATGTTGTTGTTCACATGTTCTGACTCTGCTCTCCTCTGGCTGCAATTTTCATCTGCACAATAACTTTTTTTCTGTCTTAAATATTATATTTAAAATGTTATAGAGGCATTACTATAATTCCTGATTGGCCTGGCCTTGGCCAGTGGCAGGTCTGTCCTGGAGCTGGCTGGTATTGCCTCTACCAGACATGGGAGAAGCTTCCAACAGCTTCTCACAGAATTCACTCCTGTAGCCTCTCTGCTACCAAAACCTGGCCACAGAAATCCAATACAAATGGCTCTTCAGAATTTCCTAGCCTAATAACCAAATACATGTCTAACTTGTACTGGATTATTGCGTGGTGGGTTTTTTAAAAAGTCAGTGTCCCAGATTAAATACAAAACTTCCAAAGGGTATAATGTGGCATTTTTTTGTTTTAACATCTCTTTTGTTATGATTTGGTACTGCAATTGCTTTGTTGTCGTTAGTTTAACTACTGCTTTTCGGTTTAACATTTGTAGATACTGTTGCATTTGGACTGGAGAGTATGTTCAGTTGTCAGTGGCATGTTAAATACTTTGGATGTATTTAAGGAGGTGTATTCACATGCTGTGTGAGATTGTTGCTGTTATTTGAGTGAGACTGCTGTTGTCATTTACATAGGCTGAACCACAGGCTAGTCAAGACTAGGTTTTCCTGGGAAGGCAGTGGAAGGAAGGAACTTGTCAGTTCTCAGAGATCATCGTACAAGTTTGTAGGTAAATGGGAGATGCACCAAGCCTGATACTGCAGAAATGAAGCAGCTTTGCAGCCTACACAGCCTATGTGTAAGCCCTGCAGGTCTGTCCCATTGCTACCCTGGGAGCCTTGGGACATGTTTCCATCCTTTTTATGAACCTGTGGGTGATAGGACATCCTTCCTCAGTTCAGTAATTCTTATGAGTTTGAACTCCAAGAGTTAAGTTGCACCAAAGAAAGAGGAAGTGAAATAGGGACCAAAAGATAAGAAAGCATAAGATAAAAAGTTCAGATAAATAAAATAATGCCAGCTGAGCATTCAGCATAAGTAGGCAAAGCAGCTGTGTGCCTGGCTGTGTCAGTCTTAGGCTTGTGAAATGAGAAAAAAAGCTGAAGGCAAACTATGAGACTGATACAGATCAGAGATGAACTCAGAACAGGCACTTGTTAAGCATTTCAGAAACAATGTTAGTGGCATTTGAAAAACAAACCAAACAAAAAAACCACCCTAAAAAACACTCCCAAAAAACTCCATACCCACCTCATGGCATTTTTAACTGCCGCCTCAACTGAAATCCTTTTACTGCCAAGCAGTGCTTGTCGAAAGTGCTTTGGTTCCTGGGAACTAGTACTTTATAGTCATCAGTGAGGTACAAGCCACAATGGATCTACTAAAAGAGCTGAGACAGTTACCATGGGGGCCAGGACCCTGGTTTCAACATGAGTGGGTGATGCCTAATATTTCTACTGTGGGGAAGGAAAGGTCATTTGATGAGAAATTTATGGAGATTCATTCAGAGTCCCTGTAGGGAAACTGTGTCAGCCCAGGACTAGAGTGGTATGGATGCACTGATACCAAGCTTTTGCCTTCTTAAAAGCTGCTGCATAGAATCTCAACATTTGATTTTATTCTTTAAGATTAATGTAATTAAATTTGCAGTTAGTTCTTGTCTGCTTCGACTCACAATGCAGATAGCCCAAACAAACAAGGCAGCAGAGAGAAACTGGCTCCTTTCCTATCCACTGCTAGAGAACACAACCTAATTTTAGTATGTTTTAACCATGCAAAGATCTAAACAGGTAACATATGCCATTGGTGGTGTGTGTTCAGCTGGAATGTTGTCTAGAAACCATACTGGTGGGAGCTTCCTGTTGAGCTGGTGTTTGTTCTGGTCAGGAGCATGCTCTAGTCAAGTCTTTTACTAAGACACAGGAGACTCCATAGGGCAGCAGGCTGTTCTCCCAGACTGAGGAGATAGTTGTCAGCTCTTCTAGCAACTGATGTTTGGCATAGGTGTCTACTCTTGCGTTCCAGTGTGATTGTTTGACCTGAATTTAGGAATTTTCTATGGGTGGTTTGGTAGCGTGCCAACAATTAGCTAGTTTATTAGAATCACTTTTCAGAATTTGCCTCATGGTTGAACAAAATTTAAGATAATGTTAATGTGCAGGTTCAAATGTTGTTAGTCACAATTAGATTGTTAGCATAATCAAATTTAAATCAAATCCTTCAAGTATATAAAGGTAAGAGTTGTGAGAAGATGCATCTATTTTAAGCATCTTAAGGCATTAACTGAACGTACTGCTTTGTTTGTATAACCTCCTAATCTTTTAACCTGATTTTTCGAAGGATTTTAGAATGCCAGCGTATGGAATGGCTGCAGGAGAAGCGTACGCTTACTCAGTGCATCACAGACCATGAAGAGAAATATAACCAACTGAGGAACAAGCTGTGTCGAGCTGCTGTTGCTCAGAAAAAGGCATGTTGTCTCTTCCTTTATGAATGATCTAACTTATGAAAATTTCAGCTTTAAGTTGGCCAGCTAGAATTGTTTCAATGTTAAAGTTTATTTGCAGTCTACTTAATAACTAAATATATTGGGTTCTTTAAACCAGCATAGAGATAGGTTGAAGTGGCATGTAAAAGTATACTACAGCCAACAACCTCCTTATAATGCCACCAAAGATTTTGTGAGGCTTTCTTTGCACATACATGTGTGTATTTATGGTTATTTAAGAGGTGAACCCCTTGATTAGGGAGGATGATGTTTCAGATGTTTCTTGATGAAATATTAAAATTTTATCTCTTCTAAACTTGCTTTTTCTGAAATAATTTGAAAGGAAAGGCAGATTAATTGTTTATAAAAGCTCAGGATTAATTAACAGTGTTATACTTTGAACATATACAGGTTATAAAACCTACCAGTAGCTTTTATGGCTGTAAAAAGTTAAGGTCAACACAAGCAAAAAAAAAGTTAAAAGAAGGAAGCATACTTTCCTGGTCATGTTTATACTTATTTATATATGGTCATTTAAAGAATGAGCTTTGTAATTATCAAATATAGTTGGTATTTGTTAGCACGGTTGGTCACTAACCAACGAGTCACCAGCAGTTGTGCATCCTTCAGTTGCAGGTTGCATTTGTTTCCCATCATGGGAATCCAAGCACCTTCAGACAACACAGCTCCTCTCCTTAAGGAAGAAAAATCCTATAAAGTGTCACAGCTTGAAACTATGTACACTGTAGATTTAATTTTTACAGGATTTAATCTATCAAGGTGTTACTTAGCTGTTTCAAATGTCTGTTTGACAGAGAAAGACTCTCAATGACAATAAACAAAGGAGGATGCGTGAAAAAATAGAACTTTTGGAAGCCAAGATGGAAGAACTAGAAAAACAAAATCAGATGTTAATTAGGTAATTAACTTTGCTTTTTCTTAGCTTGAAAATTTATATATGTCCAAAATCTGACTTACAAATTGAAGTGGTTTTGAAGATTCGTCACCTACTTTAATAACCAGAGTCAAGTTTAATGACCTATTCATCACTAGAATTGTTTGAATAGATTCTGTTTAGGATGGGCAGCTGAGAGCAGGGCTGTGTCTTTGGGAAGAAAGAGAGGAAAAATACCTGGTTGACACACTTGCAGGAATCCCTTCAAAAGAAGGAAGTGAAAAAGACTTCAGAATTGCAAGAGGGACAGACTCTTGCAATTCTCCTCTTTGAAAGATAAAGTCCTGTTTTTTTCTCTTCATTGAGCACCTATGGAGGACTTGATTTGAATAGTTAATTTATTGTGGCTCCTGTGGTTCAATTCTGAGAATGGTATTAAAACCTTAATTTATTCTATGTAAATTCTAATCTAAAATACAGCAGATAGCTTAATATGTAGAGGGATTTTTAGACAGACATGCAGTACCTTCCAGTTCTTCTGGTATATCGGGATAGGTAGTAAACAGCAGAGCGCTCATGGAGAGGTATGCTGCTGTGTTGGGATAACAAAGATTTTGAGCAATAAGAAATCTCTCATTTCCTAGGCAGAATGTTTCCTCTGAAGAATATGCACGCCTCCAGAAGAGACTAAAGGACTTGCAACGTCGGCACAATGAATTCCGGAGTATAATTCTGAACCCTAACATACCATCACTCAATCCACTTGGGATAATGCCATCGTCTGCCCTGCCTCCTGGGTCTGAAGTGTCCTTCCCTCTTCTTCAGGTGCTGATATATTACAAGTTGTGAAAACAGTACAACAAAAGAGGGTACTGGAACAGTCCTTCTTTACAGACCTTAGTCTTAAGGAAAGAGTATTTTATCTTAGAACAGAAGAAGGAAACTTTGAGATATCGAGAGATGTTCCCTTCCTTGCAATAGGAAGGAGTGCTTGAAAGACAAAGGATATGCTACAGAATGTAACAAACAGGCAGTTTCAACCCAGTTCTCCATACTTTGTCCTTCTCCTGAGAGGGTTTAAGTGGCTCCCTCTGAGAAAGAAATACCACAGTGTTATTCTCACACCATGGTTTCATTATTACAAAACAGTATTGCTGCTCTTGATTTCTTATGGGGTTAAAAGTCTTACGCTGAGTTTCTGAGGGTGAAAATCTCTCTGGCTGAGGTTGACCAGGTTGACTTCACAGATTCTTGGTTATTGAGACCTCAGGTTTGTGTGCTCTTTCATCTGAGAGGAGGAACAGTTGCAGCTGTATTTCTTGCTCATGCTGTTTATCATGAATGTCAGAATAATACCCACAAAACACTGATGAGTAAAATTAAACAAATAAGGATATTGTGGACTTCACTGTTTTTATTTTCATTAAAGAAATAAATTATTGCTCATTTTGATCCTCTGTAGGTGTGCAAAATGTAATAGTGCCACTTTCCTTTTTTTTTTTTTTTTTTTCAAGGAGGAGCAGCATCAAAGAGAGCTTTCCCTGCTTCGCAAGAGGTTGGAAGAACTAGAAACCAGACAGAGAAAACAGCTGGAAGATCTTGGACCACCTAGAGAGCGGGTAATGGGGGATGCATACAGGGACTTGGCAAGAAACAAGATCACTGGAGAAAGTGAAGCACAGAGCGAGGACTCCAAATAAATCTGCAACTCTCCATGCTCTTAACTTGCAATAACATATCCTTTGTATGTGCATTTAATATATTGCCAAAAACATGCCTGTATGTGCCTGAATAGAAGCAAATATACTCTGCATAGTTACCCCTTTGTGGCTCAACTTGTTTAACTATTCAGACTAAGGTCAAAAATACCTTTTACCACTGGGAATCATAAAAAGATACGTTTTATATCTAGGGTTGCCATCCATGAAGGGGACGCTCCCTGAATTTGAGTTACCAGTGCTGCGATATTTGGCATCGCAAGGTTTTTGGGCTCAGTATTGGGATTCAATTGCAGACAGTTTGTTCCTGATCAACTAGAGTTCCCACTTCTCTCAAATTCCTGATCTTCTGGGTGAGTGTAGAGGCAGTGAATTCCCTCCCACGGTAAGCAAAGAGCAGGTTGAGGATGGCTTGTTGAAGCTGATTAGCCACAAGTCTGTTGGACCTGATGATGGGCATGCCAGGGTCCTGAGGGAACGGGCTGATGTTGTTGCCAAGCCACTCTCCATCATATTTTAGAAGTCATGGCACTCAGGCAAAGGCCTCAGTGACTGGAAAAAAAGAAACATTGCTCCTGCTTTTTAAAAGGGAGAAAGGATGATCCATGTGACTACAGACTGGTGAGCCTCACCTCTGTGCCTGGGAAGATCACAGAGCAGATCCTCCTAGAAGACGTGCTAAGGCACATAAAAGACAAGGAGGTGATCCAAGGCATCCAGCATGGCTTTACCAAGGGCAAATGGTGCCTGACCAATCTGGTGCCCTTCTGTGGTGGAGTGATGGCAATGGCCAACATGGGAAGACCGACAGATGTCATCTATCTAGGCTTCAGTAAGGCCTTTGATACTGTCCCACATGACATCCTTATCTCCAGACTAGAAAGACATGGATGGGCTATTGAGTGGGTAAGAACTGGCTGGATGGGCGCAGCCAGAGAGCTGTGGTCAGTGGCTCTGTGTCTGGGTAGAGGATGGTCATGAGTGGTGTCCCTCAGGGTTGGCTCTGTCTGGGGGCTGATGCTCCTCAGTATCCTCATCAGTGACACAGGCAGTGAGATCAAGTGCACCCTCAGCAAGTTTGCAGACCACAGGAAGCTGCACAGTGCAGTTGACACAACAGAAGGAAGGATGTCATCAAGGGGGAACTGGACAAGCTTGAGCAGTGGGCCCATGAGCACCTCATGAAGTTCAACAAGTCCAAGGGCAAGGTGCTACATCTGGGTTTGGAGAATCCCAGACATGAGTACAGACTGGGAGAAGAAGTCATTGAGAGCAGCCCTGTGGAGAAGGACTTGGGGGTTCTTGTGGATGAAAATCTGGACACAACAGTGTGCGCTCACAGACCAGAAGGCCAATTGTGTCCTGGGCTGCATCAAAAGAGAGTGGCCAGCAGGTCGAGGCAGGTGATCCTCCCCCTCTACACTGCTCTGGTGCGACCTCACTTGGAGTGCTGCATCCAGCTCTGGGGTCCCCAGCACAGGAGGGACATGGACCTGTTGGAGTGAGTCCAGAGGAGGCCACCAAGACAATTAGAGGGATGGAGCAGTTTTCTTATGAAGACAGGCTGAGAGAGCTGGGTTTGTTCACCAGGGAGAAGAAGTGGCTTCAGGGAAACCCCATTATTCTTCCAGTACCTAAAGGGGGCTTTTAAAAAGGAGAGGGAATTTTTATATGGGTACATAGTGTCAGGACAAGGGGGCAGTGGTTTGAAACTGAAAGAGAGGTTTAGCTTAGATATTAGGAAGAAATTCTTTACTATGAGAGTGGTGAGGCATTGGAACAGGTTGTCCAGAGAAGCTGTGGATGCCCCATCTGGAAGTCTTCCAGGCCAGGCTGGATGGGTTTTTGAGCAATCTGGTCTATTCGAAGGTGTCCCTGCCGTTGGCAGGGGGTGAAACTAGATGATCTTTGGTCCCTTCTAACCCTAACCATTCCATGAGTCTGTGAACTATTGCCAAGGCAGGCACTCCTTCTTGGTAAGTTTTGTTTTTCAGTAATTTTCCACAAAGTCAAAACGTGAAATAATCTCAGCCCATGAAAAAAATAATTTAGCAAGGTATGGGTTGCTGAAAAAATACCTGCCATTTAAAATAAAAATTTAATTTTTTTTTATAAATCCTTTAAAACTTACTTGCTAATATCCTTTTCTTCAATGTAGAAGTTACTGTACATTGGGTTGCTGTTACCATCATTAACAATGCTGTAGTCCACATCTGGGTTGTTATTTTGATGTTCCCATGGACATAAAGAGGATGAAATGAGATTTTAAAAGTTCTGAAAACTTTTTATTTGCAACCCTTGAGAATGTGCCTCTTGAATTGTTAAATTGGGAATAGGATATAATTTTTTTAATATAATATAGCAGAGATAAGTGTAACAAATTGCCTTCACATTATGAAAATATGTTTGCATTTGTTGCCACTCTAATTTGTTTACTTACCTACAATAAAATTATTTATTCAAGGTTGAAAGTATTTAAATTTTTTCCCATTCATTATCAGCTCAGTAATAGAAACTTGCGAACCTAAATTAATTTTTTATTTTGTTTTTACTGGATAGTGATGACTTTCCTGGAATTGTAGTAATTATTTTATCTGGGTCTTGTTTGTTTATTTGTATTTGGGTGTTTTATTCTTTTTTTTTTTTTTCCCCAAAGTACTGCAGCAAAAGTCTGGGACAGTGAGAATACACTGCAATTTCTTATAATAGGGTATTGCTGTTAGACTATAGGAACAGTCAGCAGAATAACTACGTTGCATATGGTGACGTTGGCATTGATTCAATTTCCCTCTCAGAGGCTGCATTTTTGATTTTCCATACAGTGCAGAAGTATGATTTGTCCCAGTTCTGGTCAGGACAGGGTTAATTTTTGCAGTAGCCAGGAGGGGCCATGGTTAGGACATGGAGGTTATTCTGTGCTACCTCACGTCCTTTTCTGGGGACAGGGGAAGGGGTCCCTTCTGGGTCGCACAGGGTGGCGGCACGGTCGGGTATTTGCCAGGCTCCATGTGGCAAGCAATCGTGTGGGAATCGTTTGCCTCCTTTGTACACTGTTATTAAAGTTGTTGCTGTTGCTGTTCATTTTCTTATCTCCTTGCTGTTTCCAGTAAATTGTTCTTATCTTGACTCATGATCTTTACCTTTTGTGCCTCTAATTCTCCTCTCTGTCCTCCTGCGGTGGAGGAGGAGGTAGGGTGGGCGTGTGAGTGAGCAGCACAAGGTTTGGAGTGTTTCAGTGGGAACACTAAATTGGGGAATGCCATGTCCTTTCCTTTCTTGGGAAGTTTGTTAAACTTCTCTGTGGAAAACAGAAGCTACTGCTGTCTCCTGCAGGATTAATTTGTATAAAGTACCTCTCTGTGCCTGAGCCACCTTTGCCAAATGGGATGGTCATCAGCATCTACCAGCATGGAACAGTTGCAAAGAGCAAGCTCTCGGCAGCCTTGTGTCTCTGTCCCTGCCTCTGGCTGTGTGGGCTTCAACAAGGTGCACTCTAATGTTGGGGGGCAAGGAGAGTGGTTTATACAAACCAGGGAAGATGTGGCGGGTGGAAGAAGTGTAAGAGAAGGAGGAAGAATGATCGTCACCACCAGGTTTGTGGGCTCCCTTTGCCAGCTGGTTTAAGGCTTTTTGAGTGAGAGACAATTTCCTGCCCCTGCAGCACCTTCTCCTGAAAGAAGGGTTATTGGGTTATCCTCCTTTTTAACATTTTTAGCTTTTTAAAATTATCATCAGCCTCAGAGCCTTTAAGTGGTGTAGTTGTAGTGCAGCTCCTGAATGCTGTGTGGAGGTGTGGCAGGCACTGCATATCCAGCTGCTGCTGCTTCCTACAGGTGGGAAGGCAGCTGGGAATCCCCCTCCACCCAGGCCCTGCAGGTCACTGCTCAGCAGCCACTGGGTTTTAGACAATCCCCTCCCCAGCATCCTTTTCTTGTACTTCCCAACTTCAGCATGATGGAACTGTGCTGTGCTGACCTGCATGGTTCTGCCCTGCAGCCTCGCAGGGCTGGAGCTGCAGCAGGTATTCCTCACCTGATGCCACTCTGTTCTTTGCATGACCTTGGATTGGATTGTTACCAGCTGTTCTTGCTTTCTTTTAACCTTTTTAAAGTACACAATCAAACTAACCTCCAAATGCTTTTATTCTAGATAAACCCATACAAACACCAACATGTATTTGTCATTTGCACTTTTTTTTAACCATTAATTTTAAACAACAGGTTAACTTCTGTACAACAGGAATTACTTTACACATTAGTAAGATTTGCCTTCAAACTAGATGACTGCAAAATAATGCTCTGTAAGCTAGTGTTAGAAAATACACTGTTTGCCATAGCAGTTTGCCTGTAAACATGTGACAGTAAGTTGAAGAGAAGTTTGCTTTCATTTCTGAGAATGTGATTAGAACTGTTGGGTTGCCATAATACAGAGGTTTCTTTTTGTCCGTGTAACAGTAACGGCAAATGGCAGATACGGAAGGTGTGCCAATGTTTTGTGTGCTGACCCAAACCTACCAAAAGAGCCACAATCACTTAATTATACTTCACATCACTTTGTGAGATCCACTTGATGGGTTACAAAGTCCCAGCATGACTTAAAAATGGTTTACTAACAGAGTGACACTGTTTAGGAGGCTTGAATAAAAGGCAATAATCCTATTCCAGGCTGTAGGTAAAGCTACAGGGCCTGCTTCAACACATACTTAATCTCTAGAAATCATTAAAGCTATTGTAGCAAACAAGCAGTAGTACAAATACAGAATAGGACTGATTTTTCATTTCCTCATCAATATAAACACATATAGTGAAGCTCACAGGATCAGACCCACGCAAACAGATTATATTTTACAGCTTTTCAAGCAGAAATGTTGGATTTGTTTTTTCTGCCTATACAGAAGGTTACTGTTGAACAAAACTATCACAGTTCATTTGAATGCACTGCCAGCAAACACCTGAAGTGGAACAGAACTCTCACACTGGAAAGAGTAATCCGCTCATGCCTCTCCTTCAATATTAGTTACTGTGCTTTTTTATTTATTTGATGCTGCTTTAAAGTGTTAGATTAAGAATAATAAAAATCAAGCCCTTACATACAGGTA